TGATGGGGTGTTGGTGGTGGTGATAGGGATGGTGGTGTTGGTGGTGGTGGTGGTGGTGTTGGTGGTGGTGATGGGGATGATGGTGTTGGTGGTGGTGATGGGGATGATGGTGTTGTTGGTGGTGATGGGGATATTGGTGTTGGTGGTAGAGGTGGTAATGGGGATGATGGTGTTGGTGGTGGTGATGGGGATGATGGTGTTGGTGGTGGTGATGGGGATGATGGTGTTGGTGGTGGTGATGGGGATGATGGTGTTGGTGATGGGGATGATGGTGTTGGTGATGGGGATGATGGTGTTGGTGTTGGTGATGGGGATGATGGTGGTGGTGGTGATGATGGGGATGATGGTGGTGTTGGTGGTGATGGTGATGGTGATGATGGTGGTGATGGGGATGATGGTGTTGGTGGTGGTGATGGGGATGGTGGTGTTGGTGGTGGTGATGGATGGAGGAAGGGTTTTTTTTCACACATGGCTCTATGATTAAAATGAGTAATATGAAGCACCAAGGCAGGCCTAGTTGGGGATACCATTTCTTATCTTAATTTCCTAGAAACGAAATATATACCACCTTTATAATGAGAGCGATGTACGAGTAATTAGAAGAGTAATTGCACTCAAAAATCTCTAAACCCTTGGCTTGTGGTGGCAGCTCCTTTTTCACGAGATGACTAGAAAACAGTTCTTCACTAAGTTTCTGAAAGCAGGCAATAGTATGGTTTTCCACTATTGAATTTAATTAATCAAACCATCTTTGTAATACCCACAAATATACCAGCCCAATTAGCACCAGAGAAGTGAATTCCAGCTAAGGTCCTTTGCATCAATTTCACGTTACTTTAAGCCTTTGACAGAAAGTTGAGTCGAGGTTGAGCTGCAAGATGACTGCGAGACACAAGATCCAGAAACGTAAGGACATTTGTGTCGGAGGATCTGACACAGACTTCTGGTCAGGCCCTTTTCAGCTGCAGAAGCATCTGATATGGGTTTAGAGTGTCGGCTTCCTGTTACCAAAAAAAGCGTTCAAGTAAAGCTTCTTCAAATATGATGTTTGACGAGGAAAGGTCTTTAACTAGGGGAGGGAGTCACGGACAAACAGCTTTGATGAAGATGCAGTCTGGTCTAAAAAAAAAGTTGTCTGTGCACTTCTGTCCCCTTCTTGCAAATTCTAAAATGTCATCTTTGGTATGTTCTGGCACAAAAGTGGATGAAACTAGGTTCCTCAGTGGTGATTTCTTTGGCTTACCACTACAATGGGACTCGATGAAGGCTCCAGGCTTCCTTGTATTTGCACAACACCTTACAGCAGCTCTGACAGATTGTTAATAGTGTTCATACTTTGGGGAGAGCCTGTGACTTGAGGGAAACCCCTGGGGTACTGCTTCATTAAACGGGCTAGATGAGGTAAAGTGGTAATAAGTTGATCTAAAGCACTCTCATCCCGACTCAGTCCAACTATGATCTTATGATTCTTCAAGCATTTAATCTCTCGCTCAAGAGTCTGGTCTGTGAACAAACGAGTGAATGGAATCTCTTTACCTGGCAACAAAGTCTCCCGATTTCACTGTTTCCCTTGCAGCATTTGGTAATCTTCAATGCAAGGCAGCAGCAGAGATACAGCTGACTGAATTTTAGCCCTACAAACATGAATTAACAGTTGTGCGCACTTCAAAATTGGGGGACCTAAAATGGTGGTCCCGTGGGTCGAGATATTTGAACCCCATCATTTCTACAGGAAATACTTTCATAACATATAACATCACACCATTAAAACTCTCGGCATAAAATATTCATCGAAGCTGATTTAACTACAAGGAAAATATTAGTAGTATATTACATTATAAAATCTATAATGTTTCTCCCACCCTTAAAACATGCAACCAGTATTCTCTTTCAGCTTGAAGGCAATATCTAGTTCAGTGGTTAATAACCTTTTCAGTCACAGACCCATTAAATATCTGATGAAAGCTATGGACTCCTTCCCCAGAAAGATTCATTTATTTTTTTGAGATTTTATTGTACTATACATATATGAGTTACACAAAGTATTATCAAACTTTTAGACAAAAGTTTAATAATACTTTGCGTATCTCATATATGTATAACACTATAAAATCTCAATAAACAACCCAGGAAAAAATATAAATGTTTATTTTTATTTGATCCTCACGGACGCCTTTAAACCCTTTCATGGACCTAAGGTTAAGAACCCCTGATCTAGTTCTTATATACCACATAACAAACAATCAACTTGGTGATTTTTTACAGGTACGGGACTTGCGGTTCCCAAATATGCAAGACTAAGCACCCACTGCACCCTGACTGCTGGGTCGAGGTTATGAAAGACTACCATTTCTACATGGCCATGGAAAACAACCTGTGCGACCAATACATTACAGAGAAACTTTACAATCCCTTGAAATACAACCTTGTTCCGGTGGTTTGGGGAGGTTAGTGGATGTTGAAGTGAAAGTATTGTAGAACGACGTGTAGTTATTGGGTTTTGTTTATACGTCGCGAGGGAAACATTAGCTAAGTTCAAAACTACTGTTAAACAGTTTGATCGCTTGGCAAGTCCGTTTATGAATATGTTTGTTTTTTTAATGAAATAATCTACATACCTTCTCTTAAATTGAAACTTATGGTGGCAGACAAGAAAAGAAAATCTATTCCTTATTTTCCAACGTAAGATAGATTCAACGATATGAAAAGCTATGCCATTTTTAACACTTACTATCGTTTCTGCAGCAGAGGAGGTTTTCAGAAGCCTGATCCTAACATGCATCTTTTCGCATTTTAACTTTCTCTTTTTAATTCGTCAACATAAATTCTCTTCATCTAGGCTGATTTATTCTGGGGCAGTTCTGATCGGAGGACACATCTGTTTGTGGATATGCATTTTTTCAATTAAATAATCAACGTTTCTTTCTCATTACAGGCTCTAATTATAGCCGATTTTTGCCTCCAAATTCCTTCATTGATGCGCGCAAATATCATCCGAAAGAGTTGGCTGCCTTACTCCTGAAACTCAGCCAAGATCCTGTCGCTTATGGCAAGTAGGTATTGCTCGCTTTGAGCTTTGGTTCAGTCGTGTGCTGGCATCGTCACAGGAAGGAGACATTTGCCGTGGCATCCCACACAAATCTCTATGTACACGTGTAAATACAGCGACATTTAACAACAGAGCAGACCTCTCCTTCCACAAGCGGACTGGCCAATTCATGGTAGGGAGAAAAGGAAACACATACATTCGGGAAAACACTATCTGTAAATCAGGGCAGTGTATAGGGATTCAGTTGTAAGTTCAACAGTTAAAACAAAACCCAAGGGAGCACAGCAAGCCCGTGTGATGATTGCCATTAGCAGTAAGCAGAGAATGCCAAATCGAAGTCAATAAGCAATAAGATAATATGGAAAGGTACGTACGACACTGCATGCGTATAATTCACGGACGGGTACACGTCTACACACCTCGCCACACTGGAGTTCAGAAAAGATGAATGAATCAACGCCTTTACTCTCATGCGGTAGTCAGTTTGATAGATGATATTGATACAGTCCAATCGGCTTCATCACTGACTATATGAACATCATGGAATCCAATTACCTGAAGAGCACTAGCAGGGGGTATGCAGAAAAAAGTGGACAAGCCAGAGCAGCTTGACTATAAGGGAGGTGAAAGATCCTATGTGTGTATGTGTGTGTGTGTATGCGTCCGTGTGTGTGTGTGTGTGTGTGTGTGTGTGTGTGTGTGTGTGTGTGTGTGTGTGTGTGTGTGTGTGTGTGTGTGTGTGTGTGAAATGAGTAGAAGAGGAATTCCCAGGCAGAAACTTAAGGAAAGCAGGCTTGTAAGAGACAGTAAGGGCCAGGATACCAGAAGAGGTAAGATATGGAGTGAAAATGCATATACCCCAACCCGGGGAGGAAAAAGCTGATACAGTACAGTACAAACAGGAAATTATATATATATAAATATATGTGTGTGTGTGTGTGTGTGCGTGTACATATATATACAGTGTATTTATATATATATACCGTGTATGTATTTATATGTATATATATGTATATATATATGTATATATATATATATATATATATATATATATATATATATATATATATATATATATATATGCATATATATATATATATATATATATATATATATATATATATATATATATGCATATATATATTTATATTAATATATATATAGTATATATAAACAAACACACACATACACACATTGCACACACACACACATATATCTGCACATATATATGGGCATATATATATATATATATATATATATATATATATATATATATATATATATGTGTATATATATATATTTTTTTTTTTTTCAATACAGACACATATTAATATATTTTCTTTTAATATATATAAACACGCACACACACACACACGTGTGCGCGTGTGTGTGTGTGTGTTGAAACACTTGTTCATGGATAAAAGGAATGGAGTAACTTTAGCTGATTTCCACTTTTAAATTCAAAATGGTATAAAATAAACAAATTACAGTTTATGGCACATCCCTCGCAGACACTCAGCTGGCACGAAACCTAACTGCGCTGATAAAGGTCTTCACATTACAAACAAAAGAAATATTGACTCTTGAAAATCACTCTTGACGAACATGCTTTTCATTAAATCTCCAGAATAACTAAAAACTTCTTCCTTCCTCGTGAATAATCTACTACGCTATGTTCGCAGCATTGACGCTGCCAAAGGAATTTCTTTCTCCACAAATCACAACTTTCTTCACAAATTACAACTTTCTTCACAAATCAAAATTTTCTTCAGAAATCAATTTTTTCTCCACAAATAAAAACTTTCTTCACAAATCAATTTTTTCTTCACAAATCACAACTTTTTTCACAAATTAGTACAACTACACGTGACATGTATCTATTAAAGGAAGAGAAATTTGCACTGTTATTAAAGTCCTTCGTAGACGCACGTCACTCAGCTCCTCATGACAACACTGCATAATAAAGTCCTCACATGCAAATCTCGGAAACACACTGATATCCTATTATCTTATAAAACGCACTTTTACACTTTCAGTTCCGTTGCATCGTGTCTTCTTTCCGCTTTATGGTGTATCTACATTTCAGCTTAAAGACAGTGGATTTTTCCTACTGTTTCCTTATCAGCAAAACAACAGTTCCCTTCTCTGTTTTTTTTTCTACATTCATCAAATTAACAGCCGCTGACAGCTGCAGTGAAGGATGCCTGCGACTCCGTTCTTCTCCCTCCTTCTCTCTCCTACGTTCGCATTGCACTCCCCGGTCTCGCATGTGTGTGTATATATATATATATATATATATATATATATATATATATATATATATATATATATATATATATATGCACATATCTTAGTGATAAGCAGTGCCTCTACTGTGGAAACCAGAATATTACAAAGTTAGTTTCTTAGATTATTCTCTGTTCATTGATCGCGACATATTCCCTAACAAGAGAGTGTGAAGGGTAGAAAACAGAAAAGACCACATACATGTTGGTGTATTATGATTGTTACTTTTAACTAGAAAAATTTCTGGTTCCTATCATAAAATGCAACAGACTTAAATGGCACATAAGGTATTAAAAAGGCTCTTTTATATCCCAGACCATCGGTGTGTGATGAATAAAGCATACAAACTAGCCTGTGGGCTGGAACATAAAACTGAGAAACCGTATATAATATATGAAAAGCATGCCATTTCAGTCCACTGCAACATCAAAACAAAAATCCCCAAACTCCACAAACAACACCGTAACACCAAACCCTTAATTTTAATCTCGACCTTCAAACCTGTGTCAACTAATCATGACGTCTCATAAGCAGATACCACGTGTGGAGAGGTTTCTGGGAACCGCGCGTGGGTGGGAGTCTGTGTGAGCTGTGTCACCGCCTACACACGGACACCGAGATAAAACACCACGTCAATATTCCGAAAGAGAGACGAACCAACGGCCGCTGCATTAGGGTGAAGAAGAACCTGTTCGGGCCGGCCTCCGCCTGGAAGGAAGTCATCTACAACAACCAGACGGAGTCCACGGGAACCGCAGAGGGCTTGTAGTAGTGGAGGAGTCCAAGTGGTGTTGGAGGGAGACGGTGTAGATGAATCGAAAATGGTCTGTGAAATGGATTGTCTTTTTCTTGATCATGGCTAATATTATAACTTTCTGGTTCCTTATCCTTTCTCACCAGCAACCAGTACACAATCGAAAATTCTACTACCTCTGTAAATGAAATTACATCCCTTAAGCGTCAACAATCCATCACCATGACAAGTTTCGATGTTGAGTCATTGTTCACTAATGTTCCCCTTCATGAAACCACAGATTTAATAGTCAACAGCACACATCTCAATGAATCTGGCCTATCTAAAGATAACGTTTAAAAATTACTTGAGATTGCAGCCCCATTACTAGGTTTTTACTTTTGATGATTATTTGTATAGTCAAACAGACGGCTTGAATATGTCCGCCTGAATTTAAACCCGTTCATTATCGTCGATACATCGATGATATCTTTCTCCTTTTTAAACATCCCTCACACATAAACCTTTTTTCTGAACTATTTCAACTCGAAACACCCGAGCATCAGATTTACTTGAGATACAGGAAAGCAGCCAATTACCACTTTTGGATGCGCCAATCACCTATAACAACGGCACCTTCCATACAAGCATTTACCGAAATTCAACCTTCACTTCACCATATATACACTGGCCTCGAACTTCACTTCCTTAGCTACATTCCATATTTATACAAAATTAACAGCATTAAAAATCTAATCAGTCGAGCATATAACCTGTGTAGCAACTGGTCAACTTTTCATGACGAAGTGATTTTTTAAAGAATTCTTTACAACTAATGGCTACCCATTGTTCTTATTTGATAAAATTACTATTTTTATTCTTTGTAAAATATTTCCATACAAACCCACTGCCCCTACTGTTGAAAAAGACCATAGATATGTTAAACTACCGTACATTGGTAGTGTAAGTTTTGAAATCAGGAAGCAACTAAAATCACTGTTACTAAATAATTACCCTCAAATTCACTTTTGTCTTCACCAACACTAACAATATCGCCAATTTTTTTTAAAACAACCCTTGAGATGTAACTCTGACATCTATTCTAACGTAGTGTACTTATTTACCTGTCCTTGCCGCCAAGCTCGGTACGTGGGATCTACCTCACGATGGTTACGACACCGCATCCTAGAACACAAAGGCGAATCCTTCAGGACTGGCCTTTCGCTGAGCAAACCATCTTTCTCGGCAATAAGAGAACACTCTCTACTCCACTCACACCCTTTTTCCTACACAGATTTCACTATTTTATCTTCCCATTCCTCCCGTCCAGACCTTATCATCTCCGAATCCTTACACATACAGAAGATAAAACCCGAACTAAATAACACAACCACCGCAGCAACCTTATTTACCCAATAGGCCTTCCCTCTCA